TCTACTATATTCACAATCAAAATCTACTTCTATCCAATTGTTTCCATTTTTGAATACTTCTTTGATTGTTTTGATATAATGATTATTCTCTAGAATCTACTGAACATACTTTATTCTTTCTTCTTTGGATTCACCTGGCAAAGCATATGTTGGCATATTTGCCTTAAAGAATTTGTTCTTGTTGCATATCCTGTTTTCTAAAGACCATTGACTATGCTCGATTGTACTTGCAGAAAATGAAGTGCTAGTTTTTTCATCAAATAGTTCTTCTTCTTGTTCTTCTATTTCCATGTTTGTGTCTTGATAATGCGGTGTAGTAATGCTGAGATTTTCCATTTGTTCTTCTAATGATTTCAACCCTTGCTTCTCATTTGTTCTTTTTTCTTCTTGGTGTATTGGTTCTTTGTTTATGTTCGTATTATATTCGAAGGATTCTGGATTAAAGCTTATTGACCTAAGCTTTTTTGCCCACTTATCGATTATTTCTTCTTTAAGCTAGCCTATTTTTTCTATTCTTAATGTTTCTAGTATTTGACTATATACTAACATATCTTGGGACGTAATATGTTTTGGGTCATATATTGCTAATTCTTTAGCAATATGCTTTATACTGCTTGGGTTCTGTGTAGGGATTTTAAGAACTTAGTCCAAAATTCTACAGTCTACATGTCTTCGATTTCTATCCTCTATTCCTCTAATATAAGATATGATATCTGTATTGCAATTTTTATTCATTGATTTGTATTCTAAATTTGAATTGGGATCTTTCTTTTTTGGTTAGTCAGTATTTAGAATTGAGCTTTGTAATATTTGTTAGTATGTTGTTAGTACTACATTACTAATTCTATTGTACTGCTTTCTGTTTCCTAATTTGGTATAAGGCTTGTTTGTTTGTTGTTATTGCAGTTATCACATGTTTTGTTTTCTGTTTTTTCAGAGTAATACCAATTCCCCCAAAATTCAAATTTTCTTGTCAAAAAAGTTGTTGTTTCGTTTTAATAGCTTGGTTCAAATTTCTTTGTCTTCTAATCTCTACTATATTATATATATTTCTTCCTAATACAGCTTTTTTGTTAGTTACCTAAAGGGTGTTTGCTAGCCAGTTTTCTTGTTGTTTTTGTATTTTGTTTTCCCTTGTTTTGGAATTGAGGATCAGCGGAAAGAGTTGTTGTTTAATGTTTATTTGTTTTATTTACTAATATATTTTTTGTTAAATTTTATAGATTATTTAAAACTATTCAAATATTATTAAAATTTTTTATCTTTTTATAAATTTTTATATAGAAATATTTCTTTTTTTTATCTTTATTTATTTTTTATTTGTATTTAATATATTAAATAAATTAATAAAACTGATATAGATTAAAAATAATTAAATTTACTTAATAAGTGATTAAATAAAAAAAACATTAAATATATTAAAATATGTAAATAATAATAATTTCAAAAAATATAAAATAAATTTATTAATAAAATTTATTTTGTAACTTTCAAAATATTTCAAAAATATTGATATTTTTTAATTATTTTAAATTCTTTTAAATATTTTGAAATATTTTGAAATTATTTTATTATTTTCAAAATATTTCAATAGTTTTTTTAAATATTTTAAATTATTTTGAAAATTTTTGATTTTTTTAGTTTTATTAATTTTTAAATTATTATAAAATAATCAAAATTCTTTTAATATTATTTGTTTATTTTACAATATTGCAAAATTATTTTATTTTGAAATAATTTTACATCAATTACAATTATTTCAAAAAATTTTTGATATGTAAAATCTTTCATAACATTTCACATATTTATTCTGCTAATGTAGGTGACTGAATTACAAGACTTACATAGCACTGCTTAGAAAAAACAGTAGTCAAATTTTTTGTAACCTTACATCTATCTATCATGCTTAATATAATAATAATTAGAATTTTGATTTTTATTTTGATCTTTGTTTTGACTTTCACTTGGTTTTTGTTTCGAGTTTACTTTGATTTTCAGTTTGACTTTGACTTTCACTTTGACTCTCCTTTGCTTTAACTTTCCCTTAAGCTTACATTTTGGCTTTCACTATGACTTTCGTTGGGCTTTAACCTTCACTTTGACTTCACTTTTACTTTGAGAATTTTTGCCGTGTAGAATTCACAAAAATATAATTTTGATCGATCGTTTAAATAAGCTATTTAAGTTCATGAATATTTCGTACTTTGCTTCTTATTTATTAATGTTAATTTATCTAGTAAATACAAAGTATTTTAATGTCCAAAATGACTACGGTATATTATATCTTTTATTCGTGTTATTTAGTTATATATAAAAACCATTTTAATCAATGCATTAAAATTCGTAAAGTTATAAGTTTGTTAACGAGGTTTGTAAAAAGTGTCTTTAGTTTTTTTGTGTAAAACAAATTAAAGCTATTTTAATGACATATAATTATTTTAATTCGGCTACCTTGTTTCGGGCTGCTATGTGTAAAAATTTTTATTTTGGGTCCTCGTCCGTAAATATTTTCCTTTTTGGACCCTTATGTGTAAATTCCCCTAAAAATAATAATACTAATCGTTTATTTGATAGAAAAGAATTCCAATTATCTATTCAATTATAATAAAATTAATAATAACATAAAGAATACGACCGAAACGCCTAGAATAGTCGATTGAAATATTCTTTCTGATCACATGTAAAATTTAAAAGCCCGCACTGTCATACAAAAAGTAAATGTCCATATAGTTTATACACAAATAATATTATAACTCAAAGCATGAAATTAACTTTTTATTATAATTATTTACATAGAAGGTATGAATAGCAATACCTATCATTCCAAACTAGCAACTTTTATTTATAGCAACGCTAGAAGGGGAATATATACAGTGAAAGTAGGAATACAAATAATATTGCTCTAAACTTATAAAATAACGTACGTTATTTTAAATAACTCAATACCTATTACGGTCTATTTATTCAAACCTCACTTTCTTGAAAACCCTTTTTTGGGTAGAACTTTCACCCTTTTTCCTTGCATGCAAAATGGATTTTATAACTTTTTTAGGCTCCTTTGTAGTTACTATAAAATTATTAGATTCTTTTGTAGGTACTATAAGGTTATTAGGTTCCTTTGTAGGTAGTATAAAATTATTAGATTCCTTTGTAGGTACTATAAGATTATTAGATTCCTTTGTAGGCACTATAAGATTATTAGATAATGATGTTGATGTACTCATGTATGAACTTGCTCTAT